TTTTTTTTTTTTTTTTTTTTGGTTGTCAAATCTCTATTTTATTTGCATGAACACATATACTTTGTTTGGTTTGGTTGGTAGGAACAGCTCATAACTGTAGCAGTTAGTTGAAGCTGAAAGAACATCTTATATCTAATACTTAATAGTTTGAAATAAGCACATTTCCAAGCAGTTCAACTAGCTATTTGGCAAAAATATGCTACAGGCTAATAAAATCAACCAAACCAAACACACCCATAACCTCCATAGTCATCTACCAAAAACTTATTTTTTTACTCCACCTTCTCATACAAGTGAAATTTTCAAAATCAAAAGTCATCATTATTGGTGATGGATAATCATTGAATAAAAACTCAATTAGCATGAATAATCAAAACAACCAAATTCCAATAACAAAAGATGTACCATTAAAAAAATGAAAAAAGAAGAAGAGAGGATATAGGTAGCTTTCTTATATGATTACCAGAAATCATATTTGCACCATATAACAATATTAAAGAAATACATGTATAATCATACCTTGAAACACCTTCCCATTTATTTCAACTTCATATGATTCCATCACTTCTTGAATTGCAGCACCAACATCACAAAGACGGACATCAATACCAGATTCCTAAGTGAATAAATGACTGTCATGGATTTGATCTTTCAAATTAACATTTAGTAAATCCAATTTTTGGAAAGGAAACTCAAACATCATACACTGCAATCATATTTCTATGCATATATCAACAACCACAACAAATGCAAAATGGATGTGATAAGTTAAATGTGTGATCAGAGACACACAACAAGGATACAACATGATATTGACATGTGGACACACTACTTTCTAAAACTTTAGGATACAACAGGTTATGTACACATTAATTAAAAAATACATTTTTTTGAATATATATAAATAAAAAATTATACAATGTCAAATTAACTTTTAAATACATTGGGAATCACTAACTTAACACTTCATATGTTAAAACAATAATTTTATTAAAAACAAACTATACATAATAATAAAATCAATTGATATGTACATAAAAATTAAACTACACCAGGAGATGTTATAGATTTAGGAGAAGATTTAGGGTTAGTTGCTTTTTTGCATTGTTGCAAAAGGCAAAAAAGTAATAAAAAAGGGGAAAAATTGAAAAACATTTAAGAAAATATTTCTAAATGTTGAAAAGTCAAACCATTGTGCATTGGGAGCCAAAAAGACTTCCTTTTTCAATTTTTGCAACAAATTAGTGGGTCCTAGAAGCTACTAGTATGTTGTTTTAAATGTCTTTTTTTATTGCCTTAATTTTAATATATTATTATATTATACATAAAAGGAATCCAAAAATCTGTGTGCGATTGTTAATCATCTTTGTTCATCTTCATCTTCTCCAACGGATTGCAGCAAAGTGGGTTGGGCTTTCGGAACTTGGCACGTGAAGGAGCTTCTAACTGTCATCCCTGCTGAAACTCCAGGAGAAGATTCACATTGTGGTCTTGATTCTCAGATTGGGTCATGATTTCTTGTGGATCTAAGAAAAATATTTCGCTTTTGCAGCACTGCCACCCAAACCAACTGCCTACATGCCCCCAGCATGTCCCAATGTCTCCAAAAATAGAAAATCAGACACTCTAAAAGTGTGTGTCAGACAAGGACACACTGGCCGAAAGAGTGTGTCCATGCTTCATAGCTAAAGACTAAGAGGAGGAAAGGAGAAATGCAAAGAAAAGAGAGAGAAGCGAGGCAAATATCATGATAGACAGAATCAGAGGAGAATAGTAGGCCCATAAGAACAAAAAGAAAAACATCCCAATTTCTAGGAATCTTTCCATCCACTGGTCCTCAAACTCATTCTTCTCCTCCCATTATTTCTTCTTACTCCCTTTTCATTTCACCATTCCTTCCAGATTGCCTCCTCACGCTAAAACACTTGCCCAGGTAAAATTTGTTTTGTCAAGAACAACCAAAATACCACTAATATATAAAGGTTACATGTTAAAACAATTTTAGAATGTTGAATTTGAAAGGAATGGCAAGCTACCTAGGAGCTCAGCATTCGGAGGAGCCAACAGGTCATTCTGATCTGATAAGAATATGTTTTATTTATTAAAAAATAAAAGAAAAAAGAAGAAAACACTCACCTTAATGCCTGTATTGGTGGCTTCACGTGATGCTTCAAGCAATGGGTCAAACATAGGATTAAATGCTACGGTAAATGCACAATCCACTATACGTCCTGCAAACCCACAACTCATGTATGATAACATCTCCAGACATAAGTACAGCAAATATCCATGTCAATAGTGGTATTCTGCAATAACATATAACAGAAGAAATTGAAAGGGTGCAGAAAGAACAAGTAATTACCATCAATATGAGTTCCAAAATCCAATTTCATTACATCATCATACTGTAGTACAGTCTTATCTCCTGTATTTGGAGTCCAGTGAGCAGCAACCCTAACAATGAAAGAGGAGATAATTTTGAATTGTAATATTCTCCAAAAATAAAAAAGTTAAGTAGTTGTTAAATGTTAAAGACAAAATTTACCAGTTCAAGGAGCATCCAGTAGGAAATGCAATGCCAGCTTGCAGTCCATTCTCTGATATCAGCTTCCGAACTGTGTTCTCCAATGTCTCACACAGGTCAGTCATTAACATTCCAGGTTTCAAAATGCTTCTGATATATTTCCGAACCTAGAAATATATGATGTATGAACATAAAATTAACATAAAGACAAACATAAAAGTATCATAAAAGTTAGACATTCCAACATAAAAAAGAAGTGCATGCCTTACATCATTCTATGCAACAATTTATGTATCATAAGTCATGTCACTAAAAAAATGCAGCAACTTAGATAGATGTAAAACAGTATCAACCTGACGATGAACTTCAGCTGCTTGGCGAACAGAATTATACATTGGGTTTTCGAGACGCTCCAATTCTCTTTTCTCTTCAGAGGTGGTCCTCCATAAATTACTAGTAGAACAAAAAACCTTAGAAAATAAGAAAAAGGATGCACTAGCATAAAAACTTATATAAAAAATCCAGATCATTGCAATTGCATGATAAGAAAAAAATTTATATTAATGGATCCTGATAAAAAAAATTGCCTCCTAGAGAAGATGCATTGAGCTAGCATGCATTTCAACTAGCTAGCAATAACCCTGCATTACAGGAACATTGAGCATCACCAAATAGAGCTAAAAATGAAACATTAGTATTAAGAAACCCAACCAACACAAATGCAAATGCATACACATATTACATAAAACTTGATAATCAAAATAATATATACAAAATTGCTCTCTTGTGATAATCTGTAACTAAAATTTAAAATATTTTGAAGATTAGCATATAAAGATTAAAGAATTTCAAGAACAGAAAATCAAAGAACTGAAATGTGTGAAGAGAGTATCTTTAGACTGCACAATCAGTCAAAATTTGATAAAAAGTTACATTTTGAATGTCAAAACTGCCCTCTAGTGGACAACTTAAAGTCCAAAATAACCTCAAATAAACAAAATAAAAAAGAAAAAACTAAAAAAGAACTGGTCTTCTCTACACACCAAAAAAAAAGAAGAAGAAAGAAAACACTTTAAAATAATTACACCAAATGCCAAGAAGTCATGCTGAAATATGGGGAACAGTAATAAATATTACTACTACATGTTGATAGGAGAAGATTTTTTCCACCATTAAAGCAACTCTGCACCGTAAATTGTGATGAACCACAACTGATAGTATTGCCAACTATGAAGTGTCAAAATATTGTTTCTTTATCATAGAATAATACTACATCGCTTTCAAATTCTCAGAATATTATTGAGATCACAATAAACAAAAAATGACGAAAAAAAAAAAAAAAGTTTAACTTCAATTGCGGCAATTACATAGGAAAACAAGAAATGAAACTGAACAATTATTTTCAACTTTGAATGTATTCTTGCAGTTTAATAGGGAGCAGGTGTTTTTGAAGAGAAACGGTATCAACTTACGCATCCTTGTACTGTTGAATTTCACCCTCAGGGAACTCTCCAGAAGGGAAAAGCTCAATAACAGGTATTGATGGTGGCTCAGTTTGCTTTAGTGGGTCCTTCTTTTTCCTGTGATTTATTTAGATCATCACACTCTTGAATAAAATCATTTACCAAGAAAACAACATACTAAAGTCAGAAACAGGTCCTTACTTGCTTTTATTTTTCTTCTTTTTCTTCTTTGAAACCTCTGCTGGGAACAGTTGTCCAAGGCAAAAGTAATATTAGCAAAGGTGCAGTCATATTATGGAAAACACAGAAAATAAACCACCAGAACACAAAGTTCTCATTAAAATAGCATTATAATTTCTTTACTAATCTCAAAAGAAAACAGGTTTAGCCTGCAAACTTTAGTTGAAATGGATTTCAAGACAAAACATTTAGAATGTGAAGCCAGCATTCATCAGCAATTCACTTGGCACCTATACAATGATTAAAAACAACTAACTGAACAAATGGTACAAGAACATATCATCACCTGTTCCCTCATCTTCACCCTTTTGCACAGTTGAAGAAATATCAGAGACTTCTTCATTCTCGTTGTCATTCAAAGTCTCTTCTGTAGGAATTTCCGAACTCATGTTTTCACTTGCCATCAGTCAATACCTGTTTGCAAATAATAACAATAATAATATCAATAATAATAATAATAATAATAATAAATGCAAGTTCAGATGGTCACAAGACTCAAAACACACTGAAAACTCAAAAGTTCTAAAATCAGGATACAGCCCACATAAGAAATATAAATTAAAAAAATTTAACGATAGGCAACATATGATGATTTAGTCTTAATATAGTAGATTTACTAGGATGTAATCTCTCTGAATCATCTTTAAACAAGACTTTTGGAAAAGTGGAAAACAATCAGTGACACATACACATTATATTACAAACTCATCATAAGCCTAAAGCGAAGAGCTTGACAAGTCCTGATGATACACAGACATAATTTTTCTTTTCTCCATTAACTAATTGGAGCAGTTTAACCAGCACAATCCACTTCACGTTTTTCCACATATTACTAGGCAAGAAGCTGAAAATAAAAAAAAAAATAAAGAAATAAAAAGAATTATGATGCTACAAGTTCAAACATCATGCAATGATGAAGATCAGTATTCACGATCAGATTGGGATATGTATCGGATTCAGCCAAAAACCATCTGCAGAAAACACATGACATTTCAATATGGTTCTTTACTTCGATGCGATAAGCAAGTGAAATTTCCACCATTGCTAAAGAACTTAGCCACAATCTTCTCAAGTTTTCTTTTGATTCACCAAAAGAGCAACACTTAGACCATAATTTTTCTGCAATTTGAAGTCGCAAGAAATAAAGAGGCGGAAACGTAAATACCTGGCTGCGAGCGATAGCTGCAATGCCTCAAACCCTACCGAAGAGAGAAGAAGACGACAGCGAATGCTTGGTTCTAGTGAAGTCGGCCCTCTTCTTAAATACACAAGGTTTAAACCTCATTTTTGGGTCCCTCAACTTTTTTATAGAGCCTTTTTAGTCCTTTAACTAAAATAAGTTCTTTTTTGGTCCCTGAAGTAAAGCTTAAGCCTGGCCTGCAAATAGGGGTGGCAATTTCCCCCAATCCGCACAGGGCCCCGCGGGGATCCCCGTCACGGGACGGGGTGGGGAGGAATATTCCTCCCCGTGGGGCGAGGATGGGGGGCATTTTCTCGTGAAATTTCGCGGGGAATTTTCCTCACCTCATGGGGCCTCGTGGGGATCCCTATCCCCGCAAAAAATTTTAAAAAAAAATAATTTAAATTCAATTTAATATTTAAAATAAGACCCAAACCTAACCCAAACCCAATTCAATAAAAATTAAATTTTACCCAACCCAACCCAACCCAATCCAACCCAACCCAAGTATCCAACCCAAGTTACCCAACCGGCCAACCCATCCAGCCAACCCAACAATCCATTCCAACATCCTCCTTACAAGTTCTAACCCTAATTTCATAACTTAACTTTATTCATTTCCCCTCATTTTCTCCTCACTCACACGCAGCCACAACCCCTCACTCACTCTTGATGTCAACCGAACAATCAAGCTCTCAAGTCTCACCTCACCTTCAACCTTCCTCTCCCTTTCTTGCTGCTATAGATCTACTACATATCTATTGTTGGAGCTGCTACAAATATGCTGCTGAAGCTGTTACAGATCTGCTCCTGGAGCTGCTGTCAAAGCTGTTAGCTGCAGCCTGCAGATCTGCTCCTGTGCCGAACTCCCCTCTGCTTGCTGCACTGCACTGTGCCGGACTCTCTTCTGCTTGCTACATTGCACTGTGCCGAACCCCCTCTGCTTGCTGCACTGTGCCGGACTCCCCTCATCAAGTATTCTCACATTACTTGTTATGATTTGAATATTGAGGCAATGATGGATTTCTGTATCATGTGCAGTTTTATAATATTTCAAATTCTAAGATTTTTTTTTAATATTGATTTCTAGCATTGCAGTTCTCCCAACATCAAGAAAGTGTAGTTCATGTTCTAGTAATGGGTGGTGCAGGATATATTGGTTCACATGCTGCTTTACGCCTTCTTAAGGATTCTTACCGTGTAATGATCGTGGTATGAATTTTTCTTTGAAATGTAACAATATTCTCCTTTAGTCATTCCAGCTTGCAGATGTTCATTCTTTTAGTTTTTGAAATGAAAGCATTTGCCTTTTTTATTTTTTATTTTTAAATTCAGGACAATCTTTCACTACACTGCACTGTGCCGGACTCCCCTCTGCTTGCTGCACTGCATTGTGCCGGACTCCCTTCTGTGCCGGACAATCTTTTTTGGGTTGATTTTTGCTTATATTTGGAACAAGTATATTGCTTTATATTGGATTAATTTCTATGTATGTTTGGAACAACTTATGTTTGGAACAACTTATGTTTGGAACATGTTGCTTTATGTTGGATTAATCTCTATTTGAAACAATTTTGTTGATTTAATTATTTGTATTAAATTAATTTTTATTTATGTTTGATGCAAAAAATATATGCTTTG